GTCTCACGTACTTTGGACATGTTATCAGGAGGGACCAGTCCCTGGAGAAGGACATCATGCTTGGTAAGATAGCGGGTCAGCGAAAAAGAGGAAGACCCTCAATGAGATGGATTGACACACTGGCTGCAACAGTGGGCTCAAACATAACAAAGATTGTGAGGATGGCGCAGGACTGGGCAGTGTTTTGTTCTGTTGTACGTAGGGTCACTGCTATGAGTTGGAACTGACTCGACGGCACCTAACAACAACAAATTGTTTGAAATGATATGATTTTCAAAATCTTGTAAATATTGGCATTTAAATGGAAGCTTGTAATATTACTGTTTTAAACATAGTCAGTGGAATCTCAATACCATAGCAATTTGATTCCCATGAGTATTCATGGGAAAATGTATATCTTAACCAATTGTCTTATATTAGTCAGAAATTTTATTTCTTTTCTTTTTCTCTTTGAACTTATATTTCCACTCCATTTCCTGTTCAAAATTTTATCTTAGTGTTATAGATTAGTGAAAATCTTTTGATCACCCTATCATACTTCTCTGAACCTAACGTGTATCTATAAATTGAAATGTGTAAACATTTAGAAAGCTTATTGTGATAAGGGTCTAAGTGTTAAGAAATTTCTTCGAGATTATTAGTATAATTTTTATTAATAGTTGATCAGAGCAACAAATTTTATTATAAATTTTGAAAAGTAGTTATTACACATCCAGAGAAAAATTGTTGAAAATGAATCTCTTAGTGAGATAGGTGGCTCCCCATTTGTTCCCATAGCCATAAATGACTGTCGTTTATGGCCAGAATACTTGCTGGCAGCGCTGGTTCTCTTCAGAGAAGCCTTGTTTATGTAAATAAAGAGCTAGGGATGAAGGAGTTAGGTTAACCCACTGTCACTGGAACCTTCCTTCTGAGGCACCTGACTGAAGCACAGAGATCTAACGTGAAAATGACTTTAACCATCTGTCACTTGATGACTTAATTGGGTGCTGCAAAGAATTGGACTCCACCTGACCTACTGGGGGAACATTCAAGCTTTAGAGACTTTTATTTTCTCAGCGCTGACTCCAGAGTTTGAAGGGGGCTTTTCTTTTCTACGCTGGGGCAATCCACTGTGGGAGAGTCTTTGCTCTGCAGAGTGGGCAAAGGGCCTTTTATGGATGAGGCTGGGATTGCACCTCCATTCTCTGGCAGAGCTGTTTTTAGCAAGAAAAAAATTTTCGAAGTGGAGAATCTGCAAAGCGATTTTCTTGCAGGTTTCCATTCTCATGTACCCTCTGGGGTTCACAAACTGGGTTTGAAGACAGTTCACTAAGCCCCATCCCAGCCCACCCTTTTCCAACATCTTGCATAAAGACAGGAGTTCCTGGGTGGCACAAATGGTTAACCACTTGGCTACTAACCAGAAGGGTTGGAGATTCGAGTTCACCCAGAGATGCCTTGGAAGAAAGGCCTGGTGATCTACTTCCAAACTGTCACAGCCATGAAAACTCTATGGAACACGGTTCTACTCTGAAGCATAAAAAACCCACTGCCGTCAAGTCGATTCCGACTCATAGCGACCATATAGGACAGAGAAGAACTGCCCCATAGGGTTTCCAAGGAGCAGCTGGTGGATTCGAACTGCCAACCTTTTGGTTAGTAGCTGAACGCTTAACTACTGTGCCACCAGGACTCCACTCTGAAGCATATGGGGTCACAATGTGTTGGAATCAACTTGATGCAACTAGTTTTTTGGTACTGGTAGATAAAGATAGTGAGGGGTGCCCATCTAACAGTAGACTGAAGCTGGAAACAGGCTGCCCACAGTTCTAACTGGCTCTTGATTTTTCCAATAGTTTTGTTTGTTACCTGTCAGTAGTTTTAAAACTTGTATTATTTATTTCTGAAGTTAATTATTTTGCACTTGCCTAAAGGTGAATAGCTTTTCCCGGATTAGACTCATAAGGTCTCCCTGCTGTCTGTTTCCCTCATCAAGGCTCCTCTTACTGCCCTGTCTTGGGGAAGGGCCCCCCACTTCACCCAGTCATCCCATCTCTCCTCCTCTAAGTATTGCCTCCAAGTCTTCTTTGCTGGCATGATTTCAATTCAGCATTTTATTTTTTTCAGATTATTTTAAACAGAGTACAGTAGGAACTGATTTTCCTTTCCATTTATGAGAGCTTTGAGCCAGGCTTGGAACATTATTATTGCCAGGGCACCATTTCTTCCCTTATACAATTAGTCTCTACCTTTTAAAAATGCAAGTCCATGGAAACAAGATTCATTTGCATTCCAAGAAAGCAACTCTTCTTTTAAATGGTACATTGTTTTTAGATCAGTCTCCTGGTACAACAGCCACCCTTTCTCTGGTGAATGAAGCCCAGTATCTGCTGCTCAACAGATCAAGTGTTTCAGAACTTCAGCAGCAATTAAACTTTAGGTAAGCTGTCTTATCTTTGGGATAGCAGACAAGTATAAACACTTGCCCCTGGGAATAAGGCCTGCTACTTACCTGTTCATTTGGTTTCCAAAGTCCTTCATCTCTTCAGCTAAGATCTAATCACACTTTGCACTGCCTCTGCTGGTCAGTGGTCCTGGCCCTGGAGACGGAACCATATTCCACTGGGTGGCCGTCAATGTCTATTTAACAGCTTAGTGCCCCTTGACCTTATGTTTGTGGTAAAAGCTTGTCCTGATCATCCAGGCCTCAGGCCAGAGTAGAGTTGATGAAGGCAGGCATTACAAGGCAGGCAGGTTAAATTATCACAACAGAGCCATCATCTTCCCCCCCTTTCCCTTTTGGGTATGTCTTAAACAGTGATGAGAATGGAAAGGAGAAATTATTCCCAATGAGTGAACTCATCTCACGTTTCCGTGCCAATATTATTATCAGTGGGACAAGGGCTTTTGAAGAAGACAAATGGGATGAGATTTCAGTTGGTTCCTTGCGTTTCCAGGTAAGCCCCAATAAGTTCTACTATCCTTCCCCAAGGGTTGTCAATGAAGATTGACTTGCATCTCAGGCCTGGGTGGTCGCAGGCAGGAATCTTTCCTTTGTCCCAACTCTTAACCACCACATCTCTCTGCAGGAGGGTATGCGACATGGGCATTCTGGAACGTCCCTTGAGATCAACCCCTTATTTCCTAAGAGGGTGGCAGCAGACAGAGTTAGTGTGTCCTGTATGTGTGATGGGAGGGCTCAGCACTTCCTCCACCTGGCCATTATGTCTGGGCTTAACCTCTCTTTTCTTGGAACACTTGTGTCTATGAGAACTCCATCCTCCCAAATATTGCTAGACTTTCTGGCAGCCTAGACCTCTTGGAGGAGGACCCAGAAACCTGGCAGTCCCTCAGTGCCCATTACGCACCCCCTTCTCACACTCTGGCCTCTGGCCTTGCTGGCAGCTGGTGGGGAGCTTGCAGTAGGTGGCAAAGCCACCAGATGTCCTCACTCCCCAGGCCTTTGGCTCCTCTCAGCAAGAGAAGAAAGTCTTAGGCTCCCTACCCTCCTCAGGAGGCCTGGGAAGGAGCCCTGGTGGTGCAGTGGTTAAATTCTTGGCTGCTAACCAAAAGGTTGGTGGTTCAAACCCACCAGCTGCTCTGCTGGAGAAAAATGTGGCAGTCTACTTCTGTAAAGATTACAGCTTTGGAAATCCTATGGGGCAGTTCTACTCTGTCCTATAGGGTCACTAGGAGTTGGAATCGACTGGAGGGCATGGATTTTCATGTGGCTTGACAAGGGTCCTGACCTTGCCAACCTCTCTGAGCTCAGCACCCCTCCCCTCTCTGCCTCTGTCATAATGACCTTCCCTCTGCTTCTTAAGCACAGCCTCAGAGCCTTGCCCTTGAAGTCAGTACCTGCTGCCTGGCGTGCTCTCCCTATAGCTGCTCCAGGGGCTTGGCTCAGATGTTACCTCCTTGAAAAGATTGTCCCTGACCCACTGCACAGTCACACTCTGCAGGGTATACAGAGTATACAAGGGTGGGGACCACGTCTGTTTTGTTCACTGCTACTTCTGGAACAGTCCTGGCGGACTTAGTGCTCAATAAGTAATTGTTGAGGGAATGAATGGACAGACAGATAAGGAATGGATAGGGACAGAAGGACAGGTCTTCTGCAGAGAATGTGCCCAATTCTGCAGTGGGGAGTGAAATTATTTTAATAATAGTAGTGTTATTAGCCAGTAGTATGAACTGACTATAATGGGAATACCACTCTAACATCCAGTTAAGCAATAAACGATAATTTAAATCTTTATTGAAGAATTTCAGAAGCCTGGGGGTGGTGGTGGCGGTGGATAAATTGTAAGGCCCAACAAAATGTCCTAAAGATGTTACTTATCTATTTAACCCCCTCCAACTTCCTCTTATCCTGGCAGTTGCTGCCTTCTTGAAAAACAATCTCCTCTCTCCTAAATTCTCTTCCATAAACCTCTCTCTCTGGTACCAGCTTTCCTGCCAGTCTCCCTCATCCCTCCATCCTGACTTACTCTTCTCGTTCTTATTTTCTATCGCTGTGTCTCTGCCATGTTACCTTTACTGTTTTAGAAACATCTGCACTTACACAACCTGCCTGGCACAAAGTAGGCACTAAATATACATTGTTTGATAGAGAAACAACGGAAGGAAAAAAGAAGGAAGAAGGAGGGAAGGAAACTTACCTGGCAACAGTAGCACCTGTGCCTCTCCAGGTACCTGGGGACATAAATACAAAAGCACCCTTTTAGGAACCTTTCTGAGATGACTTCTTAGCATGGTTTGCTTTCTTTAGGTCACTGTTCTTATTATAAACAGCAGTTAGTAGAAGTTAAAATACATGTGCCCTTTGATCCAGCAATTTCACTTGTAGAAATCTGTCCCATAAAAGTACTCATACTAGTATGCAAGATATATTACAAGATTATTTGTTGCAGTATTTTTATAATTATGAAAAATTAGGGTGCATCCTAAAAGTTCATTATAGGGAAGTTGGTTAAATAAGCTATGCTATCTTCATATAATGTAGTCCTGCGCAGGTATTAAAAAGCATCAGTTAACACTGTGCCTTTCAAAAAGTAAATGCTTAAAAGATAATTTGTTGATGATGATACTCCATGCTGAAGCAGTTGCAGTGAAATTAGCACATATTTTTGGAAAGCAATTTTTCACTGGGTATCATCAAGTCATAAAATCTGTTATACCTGTTAGGTTTATAATCTTACTTTGGGAGATTAATTTTAAGACAATAATTTCAAATAGGAAACAGACTTATGTGAGTTAAGATCTTGATTGCAGAATTATTGGTAGTAGCAAAGTATTAGAAACCATTCAAGGAGCCCTGCTGGTACAATGGTTAAGTGGTCAGCTGCTAATGAAAGGTCAGCAGTTTGAACCTACCAGCCGCTCTGGGGAGAAAAGACCTGGTGATCTGCTCCCGTAAAGATTACAGCCTAGGAAACCCTATGGGGCAGGTCTACTCTGTCACGTTGGGTTGCTGAGTTGAAATTGACTCTAGGGCACACAACAACACCAGAAACTGTTCACATGACTTCATGGGGGAATGCAAAGTGCCCCACAGAAATACCAGGCCATCGTGAAAACTGCAAAACACAAGAACAAGGTAGGTCTTTATGTATTGACTTGGAATGATGTTCATTATGTATTGTGGAGTAATTAAAAAGAAAGATACCAGTGTTGCTTCTCTCAGTGAGTGTTTACATGCATTTAGTGTACATTTGTGCGTAGTTCCATGCCACGTCTGGGATGATCTGTAGCCTCGTTAGCAGCATTTTTCCCCTGAAGATGGCGGGGAGGGCCCTGCTGAGTGCTTTCTCTAAATTCTCCAAGCCTCTATATCGTTGGAGTTATTTTTCAATGAACATATATGCTAATAAAAAGGAGCCCTGAAGGCACAGCATTTAAGCACTTGGCTGCTACTGAAAGGTTGATGATTCGAACCTACCCAGCATCACTGCGGCAGAAAGACCTGGAGATCTGCTTCTGTAACGACTGCAGCCAAGAAAACCCTGTGGGGCAGTTCTACTCTGTCATGTGGAGTTGCTATGAGTCGGAATCGACTTTATGGCACCCAACACCACCACCACCATATGCTAATAAACAAGTTTTACAAATGCTAATTGTTAAGAGTACCAGAAAAAAACTTAAAAATGTGTTTTAAGAAAATTGTTTTCTTTGTATTGCTCTTTGAAAAAAGTGCCTGGAAAACGTCCCTCCTTCTCCAGTTTGAGAAACTGTTTTAAGAGGGCCTTTTCACCAAGGTGATAGAGTTTTTACTTACGGTGTTGTCTGTCGGTGGCAGCTGGAGCCTGGGCCTGGGGCTGGTGGGTGCTGCTGTGTTCCAAGCATCCCCTTATGCAGGACATAGTTCTGCAGGGTCAGAGGAAGCCTAGTCCAGGAAATCAATCATTTTCCAGGCAGAGCAAGAGAAGAGGTTCTGTATACTGAAAGGCACGCCTTCTCCGAGAGGGCACAGTGTCCTCATCTATGAGGCAGAAGACTCATTCCATTTCAGGGAACCTCGTGTGTAATAATACATCTTCTATCTTTGAGCACTACTGAGGGCCAGGCCTGGGCTTGGCACCCCAGAAGTAATATCTGGAATCCTCAATAATCCAGCTAAGGAGCTGGATGAGGAAATAAGGCCTAGAGAGGTCATGGATCTGTCAAGGGTCACAAACACTGGGCTGAGCTCTCTGACAGCACCGTCATGTATATATATGTTGCCCAGGAATCTTGACTTTGATACCACAATGAGGTTGTATTTCCACTGGTTTAATGCCCCCAGCCAGAATGTGAGTGATAGGAACAGGCCAGGACATATCTAGGATCAGCTGAGTGTTTCTAATTTCAGTACACATTTGTATTTGCCTGTAGTGAGCAGAGGAGCACATGGTTATGAGAAAATCAAGTACCTCTGCACCTTTCATGTGTACAGTAAAGGAAGCATCTTGTCACTGCTGAGCCGTGGACTTTCTTTTTTAATGTTAACATTTGTGGGGAGGTTTCTTGTCATAAAACCAATTCATGCTCATGGCAGACCACCCATAGAAGTTCTGTCATGTGACATGACCCTGTTAAGAAGCTGTCTACTGTGTTCTATGTATTGAATATGTGTACATATGTATGTATGTATATATATGCACATTACACACATCTATAAGAATACATCTATCATTTTATTTCCTGTTTATTTCAATTATAAAAAATAAATATTTCCCTGGTTGATTTAAATTAAAGCCCGTCATAGATTAATTTTAATGCCTGCACGATATAGAGCGTATAGATATGGCGTGGTTTGCTTAACCCTTCTTATCTACTGTTTGACCTTTAGGATGTTAACAGATTTTCCCTACTAAATATAATGTGATGAATATCCTCGTGCATACGTCTGTGTTTGCACTTCTGATTCTTTACTTAGGTTGAATTCCTAGAGTGAAATTTCTGGAACAAAGGACATGAACACACGAAAGTTCTTTTCTGTTTGTTTTGCGTGTGTTGATTGTGGTAAAATGTATATAACGTAAAATTTGCCATTTTAACCATTTTAAGTGTACGTTCGGTGCACACTGAGGTTCTTTCTGATGCCTTTCTTGCCGTGGCTCAGTGTCAGGTCTTGGCTGTTTATCTTCTCCCAGTTTGTCCTTCTCCAGTTCTTTTCTTCCTTAGACCCCTAACATTCCCTGATAGTCATCTGAGATTAACAACCTGTCCTCTAAAAACTTCAGCAGCAGCCTGTCAGCTGACAGACAAATGCAGATGATTCCCCAGTAGACACTGTGACCAGGTACCCCTTTCTGGTTCCTCAGAGTTGGGGTACAGTACAGAGCCTTTCTGTGCCAGTCTGAAATTGGCTAGGGATGGCCTCCCACAACCAATCCCTCCTGAACGCAGATTCCTCCTGTAAAGTGCAGGGTCAGTCACTTTCATGGTGGTGCTGTCTGTTTCCTTCCCACCTTCCAGGTTTCAGGACCTTGTCATAGGTGCCAGATGATTTGCATCGACCAGCAAACTGGGCAACGAAACCAAGAGGTTTTCCAGAAACTTTCCGAGAGTCGAAAGAGAAAGGTAAGCATGATTGTAAAATATGGCATGTCCTCTTCAGGTCCTGGTGTGTTATCTGTGCCATAATAGAGCTGAGTAATTTTTTAGAAATGTGGGAATTTGTTGCATATTCTGAGGCTAGGGGACTGCCATTAAGGTTCTGTCCTTGCCCATGGCTGCATTTCATTTTTCCTTTCTATCCACTTCCTCTTTTTGTTTTCATTTGTTGTATTCATGTTTTCTTTTTAAAAAAATTTTATTGTAGTAAAATATATATAACAAAAAATGCCACTTTAACCATTTTTTGTGTGTACATTCAGTGAAATTTCACCATATTATGTAGCCATCACCATCTATTTCCAAAAGCATTATCACTATAAACCGTATTATATGTGTCTTTTATACTCTCAAATCTTTTTGAAGAGATATATGGAGTTTACTATTTCCAAAAGTATTGTGACTATAAACCATATTATATGTGTCTTTTATACTCTCAGATCTTTCTGAAGAGATATATGGAGTATAAAAAATAAGTCAAGCAGTTCCATTGTCTCAATCATTTTTTTCTTCACCACAACATCTCATGAAGAATAAAATGTCTTATGGTGAAGAGAGTACCTGCATAGAAAGATTAAGTAAATTTCATTATACTAAGCCTATAAATCATCTTCTTGAGAGTTAAAATGCCTCAGTGTAGACTAAATGGGCAGCTCCTGTCCAGAGGTGAGATGAGAAAGCAGAGAGGGTCAGGAGCTGGTTGAATGGACATGGGAAATCTGGGGTGGAAAGGAGTAGTGTGCTGTCACAGTAGAGGGAGAGCAACTAGGGTCACAAAACAATGCATGTATAAATTTTTGTATGAAAGACTAACTTGAATGTAAACTTTCACTTAAAGCACAACAATTGAAAAAAGAAAAAGCCTCAATGTTGTTGTTGTGGATTCCAGATTATAAAAGCTGAACTTTTTTTTTTATGATTGGTCAGTCACTGACATCTTTATTTTGAAAGTTTGAATTGTTAAATATGTCTGAAGTGCATTCTTACAGCTAATCAATAGCAGCATTTGTTTTGTTTACAAAAGCTTAAAGAAATACTCAGACCAGAGCTGGAAAAGTCACAGTAAAAAATAAGGCATGATCTAGATACATTCTTCTGAATCACAAACGCTTGCATGAATTAGTTTATATGCATACAAGAAATATACAAAAAAATAGCATTATAAGAAAGTTCATACAGCAATGAGGAAAAAGTGTCTCTCTCCACTATTAATATTAAATATGGCAAGGCGTATAATATAAAAAGGTTGTTAAGTACTAGATGTCTTTGGAACCACAGGGGAAGCTTTGATGTAGGCCAGTGTACGCTATATCCCTGGTCTGTGATGCTTAACAGAGCTGGAGTTCCACAAGACGACTCAGAATAAAAGCTGAACTTTTAACATGGTAATCCTTTAGGAAGATTTATTTTCAGGCTCACACTTTCTGTTAGGGCTTTCTGTTTGCAAAGAATTCCAGGAAAACCAGTGTCTTAGGTAGTACTGCCATAACAAAAAAATACCACCAGTAGGTGGCTTGAAAGAACAGAAATTTATTTTCTCAAATCAGGATCTCAGTGGTGGTGATTCCTTCTGTGAGCCTCTTTATCACAACACAGCAAGGAAGCTGTATTAATTAGGAAAACAGACTCCTTACAGCCTAAAGGGCAACTTGAGAGCGTGTCTGGAACTATCCTTAACGCCGATGGATTTAACAGAGAAGACAGCTGTAGAAGACATCAGAAATAGAATGGGGCAAGCCCAGCTGAGGTGTAACATCAGCTACACAGCAAAGAGTACAGGCAACGTGGGCAGAACCAAATTTCACCTTTTATTTATGAGTCAGAGTCCCTGGGTGGTGCAAACAGTTAAGCACTCAAGTACTAACCAAAAGGTTGGCAGTTGGAACCCACCCAGAGGCATCTTGGAAGAAAGACTTGACGACTTCCTTCCAAAAGGTCACAGCCTTGAAAACCCTAGGGAGTGCAGTGCTACACACATAGGGTCATCATGAGTCAGAATCGACTGCATGGCAGTGGGTTTAGTTTTTGGTTTATCTGTGAGTCAGGGCCACTGTTATGTGTCTAACTTCGTGTTTTGACTTCTGGAACTCTAGCCTAAGAAAATAAACCATGGTACTGAAAGTACCAAGAAAGTTCATTGTAGCATTATTTAGTATAACAAAAAATTTTAAACAATAGGGAAAGACTGGTAAATCATGGTATGTATGCTCCATGGAATGGTACACACATTTAAACGATGTAATGAAGACCAGGTACTATGGATATGGAAATGACAATGGAATATTAAATGACAAAGCAAGGTACAAAAATATTTTTAGAGTATGATGATCCCCCAAAACCAAAACCCCTTGTCGTCCAGTCAATTCCAACTCATAGCAACCCTACAGGACAGAGTAGAACTGCCCCACAGGGTTTCCAAGAAGTGGCTGGTGGATTTGAACTGCCGACCTTTTGGTTAGCAGCCAAGTTCTTAACCATTACACCACCAGGGCTCCTGAGTATGATTATAAGATTATTCAAATATGTATAGAAACGGAACTGGAAGGAAATTTAGCATAGCTAAGTACTGTTTTATTCATATTGGTATCTTTGGCAATCAACATACTGCCTTGCCATAGTAGTTACTCAATAAATATTAGATGAATTACTGGACAAAGAAGGAACGAACAAGTGTGTAAGAACTGTAGGATTTAAGAGATTTTTCTTGAGTAGATTTACTTCATTCTTCACTTTGGACCTTCCATTTGTATTCTGGAGAATTTGGAGAACTTACATCACATATTCACAGGGACAGTGCCGAGTTTTGCCATTATCTTAGTAAAATGGATTTTATATCAGGAAAAAGAGTGGAGATCGGTCTGGCAGTGGTCAGAGGACAGGAGCAGGAAGAAAGTCTTTCTATGGGGAGCTCAGGGTGTGTGGGAAGGAGGAAAAAACGATGTGTCCAGAAGTAAGAGGTTCAGAGTGACTGTCAGAAAGAACACCTGAAAATGAGAATCTTTAAAGATTTGACTTTAATTGAACGTTATTACTTACAAAATTATTTTAACTGCTAAAATAATCTAGTTTTTTGTTGCTCGTTTTATTCACAGGTGACCTTTGGAGTGTACTTGATGCACACATCTTTGGATTTATCTTCTCCATGTTTCCTGTCTGTAGGATCTCTGGTGCTCCCTGTGTTGAAAGAGAACGTAGAATGCCACCATTTATCTGCTGCTGACAAACATCAGGACATTATCTCCTAAAAAATGTTTTGTGCGTGTATTGAAGTTTCTCTTTTATAGTTATTTCTACTATTATTTGGAGCCCTGGTGGCATAGTGGTTAAGAGCTCGGCTGCTAACCAAAAGGTTGGCAGTTCGAATCCACCAGCCGCTCCTTGGAAACTATGGAGCAGTTCTCCTCTGTCGTGTAGGTTCGCTATGAGTCTGAATCAACTCGACGGCAACGGGCTTGGTTTTTGTTTTCTATTATTATTAAGGCCTGAAGTTTGGTTCAGTAAAACTTGTTTTTTTGAACAAGGACAGTTCTTTTCCTTTTGGAGGTAGAGAATGGCTCTCACCTGCTTCCTTCATCCTCTAACTCCTCACTCTCCACGTTTGCACAGGCTGGGCGCAAGAGCAGGTCACAGGGCTTTGTGCTTTCCACAAGCAGAGTCACGTGAATGCTGGGCTCACACTGAGGGTGCATAGCCCACAACCAGGAAGGACCCATATGCATTTGAAGTATGACTGATTTAGTCAAATTAAATTTTAAATGAAGCGCACTGAGAATATGTAACCTATCTAGGTTCCTATTTTGTAGTTTTCCCACATTGGTGTTTTTGGTCTTTAAAAATACTTTTTAGGCTCTTTTCAACCACCTTCTACTGAGGAAGGTGCTCTTGAAGGTATGAGAATGTGCCCCTCTCCTCCCATGTATATGGTGAAGACGGGGCCCACACAGGGGCCCAGAGGGTGATCCATGGCCACGTTCCTTGAGGGAAGGTTTGACTCGGGGTAATTATGTTTCTAGCAAAAGCACAGGCCAGCAACCCCATTCCTCTTGGTTTCTATCCCTGGCCACCATCCTTTTCCCACTTTGAGTTGACACAGTGAGGATTGCTCACAAGCCTGAGTTATACTCAGCAATAGTGGTGCTTGTGTGAGCAGTTGTCCTCCCCTCCACAACCTGATGGGATGGTGTTGGTCCATCCACCTGACAGCCTCCAAGTCCCAACTGAGAGAACTTCAGAGGTGCAGGAATCCCGTCTGTACCACCTTTGACCTGCGCTCCTGTACCCTTCAGTTGAGGACAGCTAGCGATGGAAAGCTCACTTTCTGATGAAGTTATCCATTCCATTGAGTTGTTGTTAGAAAGTTCCTTGTATTGAGCTTGTAGCTGCCTCCCTGTGACTACCAGCCATGGGTCCTTGCCCTGTCCTCTGGAGCAACACAGAACATGCCCACTCCTGCATCCACTTTGCCTGTGTCCTTCTAAAGCATGGCATCCACATATGAACCCCATGTCCTTGGGCAGGCCGTCAGTACCTTCCACCTCACTTGGGTTGTTTCATTTGTCCTGTCACTTCTCTGCCCAAAGCTCCTGCCCACCACTGCCCCACATCATCTTCCTAAAGCCAATATCACCATATCTCCCTGCTGCTCCGCTGTTTAGTGCATTAGGCTCAGGCTTCCCTGGTGAGCTGTTCAAAGCCCTCTGGATTAGGAGCCAGTCTGTTCCATTATCTCATTCATAGGACTTAGTGTTGTTCCCAGCACTATGTGGGATTTGAAAGATGAGGCATGGCTTCTGTTCTCAGGGTTGTTGAGCTGGAACCTTGTGCTTATGCTCTCAGTCAGTGTGCAGAACTAGTGTTAGAAGTGCACCTCTGACTCTGTGGTTCCTGAGTTCAGTGGAAGTGGAGGTAAATGAGGTTAAGTGGGGGTTTTGTATTTTATTACTTTGAACTGTTTATTAAAAATTCAACTTTGTCTAAGATTCAGCATTACTGTGTGTGTGTACCTGGGCCTGTCTTCACCAGCTAACTGGTGGGAGAGCCATGCATGGCAGGGATGGATTTACTTCTTGTTCAAGCCAGTTTCACAGAGGAGAAAACTGCTTCCTGATGGCATGCTGCAGCATTTTCCAAGACCTTCTGTTGACAGTCGTATCCTATTCAACATGATGGAAGTAAAGTGAGAAAATAAGTTCTAAAAAAATTTGATCACCTATCTCATCAATATATTTTTAGGTACAAAGGGCAATTCATTTTGTTCTTGTACATACCCATGTCATTTGTTGTAGTAGATGCTTTAATGACTGATTTCAGACATTTTAATGCAAATCCCCTTCTTTACAGCACAACTGTTTAATAAACTACTTATAGTTATTGACTTGACATCTGTCTGTCTCCACTAGATTTTAAGTTCCATGAGGACAGGGCCTGCGCCTATTTTGTTCAACAGTACATCCCCAGTGTTGTCAGGTAGTAGTTGCTCAATACAGTTTATTAACTGACTGGCTCTATTAACCCTGGCCCTGTTTTTATACTTAATTAATTATAAATGTATTTTGTCTTTAGGGTCTACTTTCAATATTTCTTGTATGAGATTTTAGCTAAAAATGTATTTTGTGTATTCTGTGAAGTGGCTGCATAGTCAGCATCCTTAAGCATTTGGGATTCTTATGACCCTTCCTTGGTTCCCATTTCCTAAGTGTTCAGCCATATGTACCCCTAAAAGAATGCAAAAAGCAAGAATAATGTCACATCCCTTGGATTTATTTTTAACACCACATCTCTGAGAGTCACAGGAAGTCAAAATGTGTTTGTTATTCTTTGATGGTTACAAGAGTAGAGAGGGAGGGAGAGGGTTATTCACTAACTAGATAATAGACAAGAATTATCTTAGGTGAAGGCAAGGACAGCACACACTACAGGGGAAGTCAGCACAACTGGACTAAACCAAAGCTAAGAAGTTTCTTGAATACAGCCAAACACTTCGAGGGACAGAGTAGCAGGGGCAGGGTCTGGGGACTATGCTTTCAGGGGACATCTAGGTCAATTGGCGTAACAAAGTTTATTAAGAAAATGTTCTACATCCTACTTTGGTGAGTGGTGTCTGGGGTCTTAAAAGCTAGCGAGTGGCCATCTAAGATGCATCAATTGGTCCCAACCACCTGCAGTAAAGGAGAATGAAGAACACCAAAGTCACAAGGAAAGTATTAGCTCAAGAGACAGAAAGGGCCACATAAAGCAGAGACTGCATCAGCCTGAGACCAGAAGAATTAGATGGTGCCTGGCTACCATCAATGACTGCCCTGACAGGGACCACAACAGAGAGTCCCTGATGGAGCAGGAGAAAAGTGGGGTGTATAACTCAAATTCTAGTAAAAAAGACCAGACTTAATGGTCTGAGACTGGAGGAACCCAGAAAGCATGGCCCCCAGACTCTCTGTCAACCCAGAACTAAAACCATTCCTGAGGCCAACACTTCCGACAAAGATTAGACTGGACTATGAGACATAAGATGATACTCGTGAAGAGTGTGCTTCTTAGCTCAAGTAGATACATGAGATTAAATGGGAAGCTCCTGTCCTGAGGTGAGATGAGAAGCAGAAAGGGTCAGGAGCTGGTTGAATGGACACGGGAAATCGGGTGGAAAGGAGGAATGTGCTGTCACAGTATAGGGAGAGCAATTAGGGTCATGTAACAATGTATGTATAAATCTTTGTATGAGAGACTAACTTGAACTGCAAACTTAAAGTACAACAATAAAAAAGTATACCAAAAAAATGTGTTTTTTTACATGTCTTGAGTACAGGCAATAGCAGCATGTCTTTCTGAGTGTTCCCTTCACGGTCCTCGTAGACAGGGGAGAGATTTTCTTTGCATACTTTAGAGCAAGCCCGAAGACTCATTTGAGGAGGGTGGCGATGCTGATGCCTTCCCACTGAGACTTAATCTCATCCCCTCCTCCACCTTATGGGATGGAGAAGGGCAGATAGTGATTCCTTCCTCCTGTCAAAAGATGTTGTCTTAGGCTGGATTCTCTAGAGAAGCAAAAACAGTGAAGTGTGTATATCTATATATATATATATAGAGAGAGAGAGAGAGAGATTTATATCAAGGAAATGGCTCACACAGTTGTAGAGGCTGTAAAGTCCCAAGTCTGTGGGTCAGGCTGGAGTCTTCTTCTGACTCATGTAGCTGCAGGGCTGATGAACCCAAGATTGGCAGGTCAGATCAGATGGCAGGCCTCTGGCTCACAGGCTGTGGAGGCCGATGAATCCTAAGATCAGCAGGTAAGACAGCAGGCTGCTGGCTCATAGGCTGTGGAGGCTGATGAACCCCAAGATAGGCAGGTAAGATGGCAGGCTGCTGGCTCAAGTCCTAAAGAACTGGAGGTCAGATGCAGCATCCAGAGCAAGCAAAACCAGTGAGCTTTGCTGGAAAGTCCACATATATTGGATGCAGGGTACACCCCCAAGGAAACTCCCTTTCAACTAGTTAGTTGCTTAAAGCAGATCTCATCATGAAGGTGGTTGCATCATTACATAGCCACCAAACTACATCATAACTGCCAAACCACTGAGAATCATGGCTTATCCAAGTTGACACAGGACCTTAACCATCACAGATGTCCATTCATTTGCTTCTTCATCCAGTGCATGCTGAGCAGATTCCAGGGTTACAGAAATAAAGAAGAACTTGCATTCAAGGATCTCATCATCAAAACACCACCAGGGGGGAAGACAGACCGATAAAAAGTATGGTAATGAGACAGCTTCTTTAAAAAACATGCTACACTCCAATTTGTGCATGTGTTCTTTGAGGTTTATTTAAAGTGTCTAGAAGATGTCCTTTGGTGAGAAGACTCCAAGAGTCAAAAGTACACTTGAACGTTCCCAGATACCAGTCTCTGATGTTGTAGCTGACCTCTAGGCTGAGACAGATGGCCTGCATTCCAGGTCACCCAAGCTCAAGCTCATTTAGAACCTGGCTCTTCATACACATTCCATACTTGGTCGTCTTTATGTGAAAATAGAATATAAAAGGGTTAGAGAACCCCCTAGCCACTGTGATAAGCACTCAAAGTGAGTGGTGGGTGCATTTATATACCACAGGGAATACACCTGCAGGGTAGGTTTCTGAAAGGAGGTGATGCAGGACTGGGGCGGGGAGGAGAGGAGAGATCATTTCAGAGGGAAGCAACAGGAAGTGCAAAGGCATGAGGTGAAGACATGGTGTGAAAAGTGATCTCTGTACGAACTAACACACTAGTGGGCTTTCATGTGGCAAGAAGGCCTCAGAAAAATCCTTTTAATTGTTAAAAGTCAAAGACTAATGGGGGAAAATTACCCCAAACTAGTTTCCATCAAGTCAATTCTGAGTATGATTATGTATGTCAGAGTAGAACTGTTCCCCACAGAGTTTTCAATGGCTGATTTGCAGAAGTAGATTGCCAGGCCTTTCTTTCTAGTCCATGTGAATCTGGAAGCGCCACTGAAACCTGTTCACATCAAACAACACACAAGTCTCCACTAACAAGTGGTGGCTGCACATGGGGTCCATTGGTTGGGAATCAAACCCTGTCTCCCGCATGGAAGGTGAAAATTCTACCACTGAACCACCACTGCCTCTATAGAAGAAATCTTGTGTTGTTGTTAGGTGCCGCTGAGCCAGTTCTGACTCATAGCGACCCTATGTACAGCAGAACAAAACACTGCCTGGTCCTGCACCATCCTCACAATTGTTGTTATGCTTGAGCCCATTGTTTCAGCCACTGTGTCAATCCATCTCCTTGAGGGTCTTCCTTTTTTTTGCTGACCGTCTACTTTATCAAGCATGATGTCCTTCTCCAGGGACTGGAACCTCCTAATAAGATGTCCAAAGCATGTGAGACAAAGTCTCTCCATTCTTGCTTCTAAGGAGCATTCTGGCTTTATTTCTTCCAAGACAGATTTGTTCGTTCTTCTGGCAGTCCATGGTATATTCAATATTCTTCACCAACACCATAGTTCAAAGGTGTCAATTCTTCTTCAGTCTTCCTTATTGTCTAGCTTTCACATGCATATGAAGCGATTGAAAATACCATGGCTTGGGTCAGGTGTACCTTAGTCCCCAAAGTGACATCTTTGGTTTTTAACACTTTGAAGAGGTCTTTTGCAGCAGATTTGCCCAATGTAATACTCAATTGTACTTCAGGTGAAGGCTTACAGAACAAATAGTTTCTCATGAAACAGAAGAACACATGTTGTTTTATGACATTGGTTAACAACCCCACCGTCTGATTTCTTGACTACTGTTTCCATGGGCTTTGATTGTGGATCCAAGTAAAATGAAATCCTTAACCACTTGAAATTACAAATGAAATGACAAATGAAATCCAGCAACATACAAGCCACCACAGTACGATAAACTGACAAGCTGTGTGGAAAGAAGGAATATTAGGCTAAATAATACAAAGTGCTCTAACAAGCAAACCAAAAATCTCAGTGGCTTAATGATGGTAGTGATGGTGGTGCTGAGCATGGTGGTACATTCTGTGATGCTGCGCTAGGCAGAGTTTACAATGGTGTGTCTACCTTGGAGGAGTTTAGGTTCCCATTTAACAAGTTCTACGCAAATTGTTCAGTGACATTGGTTACATTCTTTACAATACATGAACATTTTCCTTATTTCTGTTCTGGTTGTTTCATTTCCATTAATCTAGCCCAATATCTTTTAATATACTCATTTTCTGCTTAATCCTGTTTGAGTTAGTTACTATTGCTTCCAACTAAGAATCCTGACCAATAGAAAATTTAGTACCTGAAGTTGTTAGTTGCTGTCCAACTGGCTTTGACTCATGGCAACTTTATCTGTAACAGAATGAAACATTGCCCAGTCCTTTGCCATCTTCGTGATCATTGATCGCTTGAGTCCATTTGTGTGGGTATCGTGTCAGTTCATCTCATTGAAGGTTTCCCTTGTTTTTGCTGACCCTCTGCTTTACCAAACATGATATCATTTTCTAGCAATTGGTCTTTCCTGATGACATGTCCAAAGTAAGTCAGCTGAAGTCTTGCCACCGTTGCTTCTAAAGAGCATTCTGGTTGTATTTCTTCTGATTTATTTGTTCTTCTAGCAGTCCAGGGTATAGTCAGTATTCTTTGCCAACACCACAATTAGA